GAACTCGAGGTGGTTGATCATTTCACTTATCTTGGCAGCTGCATCAGCAATGATGGGCGCATAGAAACTGACGTCAGCTCACGCATTGCAAATGCCAGAGGTACCTTCTTGAACCTGCGTCATCTTTGGCGACAGAAGGGAGTTTCCCTCCGTATGAAAGGCGGGGTATACAAGGCCACAGTGAGGTCCGTTCTGCTCTATGGTAGTGAGACTTGGCCCCTTCGGTCTGAAGATCTGAGGCGCCTTCAAGTCTTTGATCGTCGTTGTCTGCGAACGATTGCTGGTGTCGGATGGCACCAGCGTGTCTGCAACGATGATGTGCGTAGGCGAGTACTAGGTAGTGATAATCATGCTGGCTCTCTAGAACAGCAGATCGCACTGAATAAGTTGCGTTGGTTTGGGCACGTGCTACGTATGCCTGGTCACCGTTTACTTAGGAGGGCCTTGTTCAGTCTATCAGGTGTAGGGTGGCGCAAGGCTCGAGGTGGACAGTAGTTGACTTGGCAGCCGGAAATGAATTCACTGACGACCAAACTGGGTGCCGTTGGTCCGTCTCGCCTTCCGGGCTAGAGTCCACGTGACTCGCCTTTTGCTCTAGACTTTACAGGACATGGCTCGCAGTAGACACCAGTGGCGCGTCTGCTGCCGTCTCCTAATCGGATTACCTGTTTAAAGTGTGTTTGGTGCTGAGTTATCTGCGGGGTAATGGCTGATTATGACGCGTGGCAGTGAAAGCCGCATGGAAGCTGTCTCGCCGATGCTGCCTTATCTTTGCACGATAGCCAGCTGTTTGTGACGGTATGGTGTCTATACAAGGTGTAGGCGCCTTGACCCTGAATGTTTGCTTAGGGCATTAAAGTTTTCAGGTAAGTGCCCCTTCTCTCCCTCTTCTTATTCTCTATTTCACAGGTCCTCATGGTTGTATGGCAGCGAAGCATCAGTTCAAATGGATGATGTACTGCTGTTGATGATGATGATGATGATGTCCCACCCCACCCCTCTTAGCCTCCTCCTCCAATCACGATCTCATTATTTAGCTTTGTATAATTTCGCATAGTATTTTTTTGATGCACAGTAGCCGGCTGGTAGCTTACCGGAACGATGCCCATCCGTTACTGGTAGCTCAGCCGGCTTGCACTAGTTGCATTTTTTCGCCTTTTTTCTGTGTATTGCGGCACAGTAGCTGAGGTGTTCCCCACCTCTAGCTAACGTGTATGATGATGATGATGATGGATGGTTGTGCCGACTTCCTTGAGGTTGTACATAACAACCTACATAGCCTAAGGAACAAGGTGCAGGAGTCTGGTCTACTTGTTGATATACTTGCTTTCACTGAAACGCGGTTATCTCCGGATATCACGGACGGTGAGGTATGTTTACCTGGCTACGTAGTGCTTAGATCTGCTCGCTTCATTTGTCGTCAAGGCGGAGTCGTTTGACTGTATGTGAACTGTAACTTAGATGTGTTGAGGACCTACACATTCCAGTCGTCGGATCGGACTGTTGAAACCCTATCGTCTGTTTTGCGCACTTTCTCTACCCGGTTTACAGTTGTAGTGATATATAAGAGTCCTGGAAGTTCTTCCAGGGGTATAATTGACTTTATTCGCACTCAGTCCACGAATAAGTGTTTAGTTCTAGGGGATTTCAACCTCTCGGAAGTATGTTGGGCGGATCTTTCGCAATTCGGCGTCAGGAGCATTCGGTGCTGACTTCCTTGAGCCGACTCTCCAAGTGCCTTCGCACCAGTTTGTGGACTGCCGCACTAGGTATATGGACAACCAGATACCATCTACTTTAGATCTGGTTTTCGCTGTCTCTCCACTTCGTGACTGACGTTTCGTACGATGCACCTCTAGCGTCGAGCGATCACGCACGCATATCCTTTTGGTGTGCTCTTTCAAGGCACCAACAGACTGCCGTTGAATTACTTCCGAATATTTGGCGGGCGGACTTTAGTGCAATGCAACCTAAGGCTTCAGTTCTGAACTGTGAGATCTCGATGGCCGACTCTGTTCAGTTAGCGTTGTATAATTTCGAGGCATACCTTTCGGAGGTTTCCACTCTCTATATTCCACTTATGAGGAAAAGAGGGTTACGGACACAGCCTCCATGGATAGATACCACAGGAAGGTACCTACTCAAGAAACGATCTAGATACTGGCGAACCTACCAAGCAGCTGCATCAACCAGTACCTATGATAGTTCTCGAGAGGCTGTTCATATCCAGTACGAGCAGAGTTTGGCGGACTCGACCGCAGCTAATCCCAAGAAGTTTTGCTTACGTTAAAAGACGCAGCAGGACAAAACTGTCTATACCAGCGTTATTGCATGCAGACGGGACCCGTGCGCATACTGACAATGATAAGGCTTGTATACTTAGTGATCAGTATACTGATGTTTTTGCTCAGGTGATCTATTTACCACAGGTTAAATTGGTCTCAAGAGTTCCAGAAGATTCTTGCTTAGCTGAGTTTAACATAACGGAGACTCAGGTCTTCAAGCTACTGCAAGGCATTAATCCTTCTAAAGATTCCGGTTTTGATTCAATTCATCCGAAGCTGTTGCATGGATTGGCCACTGAGCTGATTGGTCCTCTCACATGCGTGTTTTCAGTATCGCTTGACAGCTGCATCCTACCTTCGGACTGGAAGGAGGTAATCATCTGTCCGATTTTTAAGGGCAGTGACAGCTCTCTGCCCGCGAACTACCGGCCTGTCAGTTTGACAAGCATAGTAGTCAAATTGTTTGAAAAGCTGATAAGGGATTCAGTGGAGAACCACCTGGATAGATTCAATCTTCTCGGTTTTACGCAACATGGTTTCCGCAAGTGATTTTTGTGTCACTAATCTACTTGTAGCTCGTGGAAGCTGGGCCAAAGCAGTAGACAGTGGCCACGCTGTAGACGTGCTATTCGTGGACTTTCCGAAAGCTTTTGACACTGTTTCTCATCTTCGACTCTCACTAAACTTGAGATCTTACGAGATATCTGGTCGCGCCTTTCAATGGGTGTCTGCTTTCCTTGAGGGGAGGGAACAGTGTACGGGTGGGGCGTAGCCTTTCGCTCAGGCAAGCTGATCTTAGTGGCGTCCCGCAGGGCTCAGTATTGGGACCATTGTTGTTCGCGATCTATGTAAATGACTTGCCTGGGGAGCTAGGAGTATCATCACTAATGTTTGCTGACAACCTTAAGCTCTGTAATATTTTGGATATTCCGGGGGGTCCTGAGAAATTCATCGTGCCTTGGATAGGCTCTGGGAATAGTCTACCTTATGGTTGATGCCTATAAATAAGGCCAAGTGCTCTGTTCTCCGAATCGGAGCTGCAAATCCTCCCACCCGATATGTTTTCGGCGGTGGTGAAATCCCTGTTGTCATCAGTAGGTTGATTTAGGGGTCGTACACTCCTCAGCACTTCATTCTCGCAACAATTGTAAGAATGTTGCTTGTCAGGGGGTTCGTGTGATGTGGTTTATCCGCCGCTCTTTCGGAGTCCGAACTTCCAGTTTGTTTGTGAACTTATTTTCGGCATTCGTCCGACCCCACCTGGAATATTGTATCCAGGCTTGTCCACCATGTCTTAAACGAGACAAAATGGACTTGGAGAGGGTGTTACGAGTGGGCACTCGCTTAGTGCAGGGTCTACGGAGACAGGCGTACCCTGAACACTTGCTCAGTTTGGGGATGTACTCAATGCACTACCGAAGGCTGATCCTGATTCTCAACGTATTTTGACGGGTAAGATCGGCCCGGACTTGTCAGAGCTACTTGGTCCAGCTACGTTACCTAATCTCCGCGGTCACCCACTGAAACTGCATAAACTACGGTCTGATAGGATTAAGACAGAAACTCGTCTGTCGCGCTGAGTTATAGGTCGCTGGAATTCACTTCCGGATCATGTGGTTAGGGAGCCTACGGTTAAGGGTTTTGCGCGTCAGCTTGATGCTCTTGGGTGCCAACACCAAACCTTTCTTTTTTCCCAACTGACTCACCACCTTTCAGTTCTTTTTTAACGACTCAAATATCTTGGTATTCTACTTAGCCCTTGTCACTTTTTCTTTTTGCCTTTTGTGTTTACTTTTTCCTCTTTTACTTCACGTAACTGGCCCAACAGGGACTGCTAGGGCAGGATACATGGGCATTAATTGGTTGGACAGGGTCTGATGCGGTCTTTGTTTAAGTTCCATCAGTATTTCAAAGTCTGCCAACTCCTGGTTCAATGCCCCGCTGAAGAAACAACACTCACCGGATAGTTCTATCGTTCCACTCCCGTGTGAACTTAAAATTGAACTCATTCATTCCTCTTTTCTCAATGGTTTCAAAAGCTGCCGCCGTTCCAGACCACACAACCCAATTTCGGGCGGTTTTTGTTCCATGCTTTTGTAGCCTGTCCGCGGGCGTCACGTTAACAGTTTTGCCTCCTGTTATCCTTACCCTCTTATTCCTCTCCGGCACTTTTCCTTCTTTTTTCCGTGCTAAGCTGCTTCCTTACATCGGCCTCTTACTAGGCGGTTGAGCATCTAGCCATCTTTGAGGTATTTGTTTTGCGTTGCAGCTTTAAGTGTCTATTACTATTTCGACACGTAAAGTCTTGGAACGCCGGACCAGAGGGATATTACATATTTGGCGACCATGCCAGTTCACGACAGCAGTCCACAAAGCTACATTGTAGCTTTTGAGGCAATAATTAACTTTTCTGCTATCCTACTACTTGTGGTGGAATCTCCCGAGCCTAATATACCGCGCTCAATACCTCTTGCAGGCACATAAGTTGATTCCGGTATGGGCTATTATGGGCGCTAAGGACAGCGCCTGCTAACAGGAGGGATAATGTAGCCGGTCCGCGGGCGTCATGTTACCAGTTTTACCTCCTGTTATCCTTACCCTCTTATTCCTCTCCGGCACTTTTCCTTCCTTCCGTGCTTCCTTAGCTGCTTTCGTACATCAGCCTCTTACTAGGCGCTTGAGCATCCAGCCGTCTATGAGGTATTTATTTTGCGTTGCAGCTCTAAGCTTCTATTACTATTTGGACACGTACGATCTTGGAACATCATGGTAACATGTTAACAGGTAAGGGCTTGTTCGGTTTCCTCCTTAGCGTTAAATTGAAATTTTTGAGCGTGATATCTTTTTGAAGTTTTATTTTCAGATGACAATTTCGCAACGGTGTTTACAAGTGTTGTGCAAACTTTTGCCTTTCGTTGAACTTTGCTTGATCCAAATAATTTTGGATCATTGTTTTCCCCGGATTACGTCGTACCCGTTTTCGGGTACTTACCAAACGTCGTCCATCATTTTCGGGTTCAGCCTCTGGCTATTTTCCGGTATTTTTGTGTTTTGTAATCCGTTTTGAACCTTGTTTTAACCCGTAACTGTTTCTGTTGTCTGTCCTGCAGGTAACAGCTGGTCGGTTTTTACCTTGTTTTACGCCATTTGCAAGTCTTATGTCGGATTCACTGAATACCGCCGCTAATGTGTCTTCGGCTGCGTTGCTCAGTGAATCTAATGCTGTATGCGGCAACGTGAGCTGCCCGTGACGGACGAGTCTGGTGGCCTACAAGGCTATGTATGAAACTGCTGGTACCATGACACCTGTACCGATTTGAGCCCTGATCGGTACGCAATGCTTTCAACTAGCGATAGCATACTCTTCAATTGTCTTCTATGCCGTCGCCGTCGATCTACGCGTCTTGAGGTCACTGAGGAGATATCGAGCAACGTAGGGCTGGGTAACCAGCAGTTGTGTTCTTTCCTCACGTCTCTTAATCGCAAAGTGGAGTTACTGATGAGGAAAGTGGGTGTCTATTGATATGGGCTCATTGCGGGAAGACACGCAACTAACCTCAATTGCTGTCGATGCAAATCCGACTGAGGTGATCGCTACCGTGTCGTGTGCCCCAGCGGTCCAGAATGCCCTTAAAGTGGCCTCTGATATCATACTGGAAGCCGTCCAAAGCAAGACCGAACTTATAGCCTCTGTGCCCAGTAAAAGCAAGCGGAAGAGGGCTAATAAAGTCCGTAAGACTCCTCAAAGCCTGAAGGTACTGAAACCATAAAGGTATTGGAGGTGCAGCACAAGCTCCAACTCCAGTCACCCCGGTTCCATTGGTGAAAAAACGCGCCGTGTCACCTGCCAAACCGGTCGAAACTGGGGTCGAGTCGAAGACTCGTGAAGGGAATACGCCTCATCGAGTTGATTCTTTTACTGATGGTAGCGTTATCTTTCGTAACGTTGCTGAATCTGCTGCAGCTCTTCCCAAGGAACGTATGCTGGGTGACCTCCAGTGGTTCAAGCTCGGCGTCAACAAGATGCTTTCATCTGGTTTCCCCGGTGTCACTATCAGAAGGCTAACCAGATTTTGGAACGGCCCTGTAGATACGCCAAATCCGCGACCCCGACTACTTTGTGTAGTCCTCTCAACCCCGGAGGAACGCAAAGCGTTAATGCGCTTTACATTCACACTCAAGGGTAGTAATGCCAGCGTCCAGCTGGATCCCTCACTGGCAGATCGACTGAAGTTAAAGGAAGCCATCAAAAGCCTCAAGAGCAGGCTAGCGGCTGATGAGCAAGGCCTTCGTCTTGTGGGTTTTCAGGTAGTCAGCCGGAAGTCAAATTCTTCCCTACCAGAACCCCTCCTGGTAGCGTGTGACTCAGGGCTGGTCGTGCCGAGTTCCTTCGAGTAGTGCTTAGTAATGTGCTTAGCCTAAGGAACAAGCTACACGAGGTGGGTCTACTTGTAGGCAAATCTCGTCCCGACATACTTGCTATCACCGAAACGTGGTTGTCCTCGGATATCACAGACGGTGAAGTATATTTACCTGACTACGCACTGCTTAGATGTGATCGTTCCGTTGGTCTCCAAGGTGGGGGTGTCGCTCTTTATGTGCGTTGTAAACTTGATGTGTTGAGGACCTGTGTTTCCCAGTCGCCGGATCAAACTGTCGACTATTGTATGTACTTCCTCTGCTCGGGTTACAGTTGTAGTGGTATACCTTAGTCCTGGAAGTATCTCCAGGGAGGTTATTGAATTTATTTTTACTCAGGCTGTCATTAGATGTCTAATATTGGGTGAATTCAACCTCCCTGTAGTCTGTTGGGCTGATCTATCTTGCAGTTCTGCGGTGGGCACTTTCGGTTCGGATCTCCTCAAGCTAACGTTGCATCTGCCCTTGCATCAGTTCGTGGATCTCCCGACTAGATATATGAACAACCAACTTCCGTCTACCTTGTATCTCATTTTTGCTAAGTCACACAACTTCGTAAGTGATATTACCTATGGTTGTCCTCTAGGAGCCAGTGATCATGTCTGCATATCCTTTCGATGTGCTCTAAGTGTTATCTAGCTACCGCTGAGGCATGTCCACATATTTGGCGGGCAGACTTTAACGCAATGTGAGACAAAGCTTCAGTTCTGCGTTGCGCGATCACTGTGGCTGACACCGTTGAGACAGGCTGTGGAGAAATTTAAGGCATACCTCACCGAGATCTCTGCTCCCCATATCCCACTCATTAAGAGACGGGTGACACAGGCGCATCCTCCTTGGATAGATCATACAGGAAAATACCTGCTCAGGAAGCGCTCTAAGTGCTGGCGAACTTATCAAGCTTCTTCATCAACCAGCACCTACGAAAGCTGTCGAGCGGTTAGAAATAAATGTAAGCAACATCTAAGAACTCTTCGTCTTCAGTACAAGGAGGATTTGACTGACAGCCGTAACGAATCCAAAGTTCTTTGCTTACCTAAAGAGACGCAGCGGTACAAACTCGTCTATGCCGGCTTTACTACGAGCGGACGTGACCCGTGGACCTACCGACTACGATAAGGCTTGTATACTAAGCGAACAGTATACTGGTGTCTTTTCTCGTGAGGCCTCTACCTCAGGTTGAGCTGGTCACATAAGTCCCAGAGGATTCTTGCCTAACTGAATTCAGCATAACGGCGACACAAGTCTTCAAGCTATTGCAAGGGATAAATCCTTCCCAAGCTTCTGGCCCTGATTCAATTCATCCGAAGCTGATGTGTGAGTTGGTCGCTGAGCTAAGTGGCCCTCTGACGTGCATGTTTACAATATCACTCGACAGCTGTGCCTTACCTTCGGAATGGAAGAAAACAATCATCTGTCCGATTTTTAAGGGTGGGGACAGAACTCTGCCCGCGAACTACCGGTCTGCCAACTTGTCAAGCGTAGTAGTTAAGTTGTCTGTCAGGGATTCGGTGGAGAATCACCTGATTAAGTTAAACCTTCTCAGTGCGACACAGCACGGATTCCATAAAGGATTTGCATGTCTGACAACTTTACTTGTAGCCCGTGCAACCTGAGCTGAGGCAGTAGACAACAGTCACGCTATCGACGTGCTTTTCGTTGACTTCTCGAAAGCCTTTGTTACTGTCCCACATCAACGACTCTCTTTGAAGTTGAGATCATATGGGATATCTGGTGCCGCCCTTAAATGGATTTCTGCTTTCCTAGAGGGGAGAGAACAGTGTGTACACATGGGGCGTAGCCTTTCGCTTAGATAAGCTGTACTCAGTGGCGTTCCGCAGGCTCGGTTCTATTACCTTTGCTCTTCGCAATTTATGTCATTGACCTAACCCCGAAGCCTTAACTACCGTCGCTATTGTTTGTTAACGACCTCAAGCTCTGGAATATTGTGGATATCCCTGGTGTCTCTGAGACACTGACAACCAGACTGGGTGCTGTTGGTCCGTCTCGTCTTCCGGGCTGTAGTCCACATGACTCGCCTTGTGCTTGGCTCGAGACTTTACAGGACATGGCTCGCAACCGACACCAGTGGCGCGTCTGCTGCCGTCTCCTAGTCAGATTACCTGTTTAAAGTTTGTTTGGTACTGAGTTATCTGCGGGGTATTGGCTGATTATGACGCGTGGCAATGAAAGCCGCAAGGAAGTTGTCTCGTCGATGCCGCCTTATCTTTGCACTATAGCCAGCTGTTTGTGACAGTATGTTGTCTACACAAGGTCTAGGCGCTTTGACCCTGAATGTTTGCTTAAGGCATTAAGGTTTTCAAGCAAGTCCCCGTCCTCTCCCTCTTATTCTTCTTTATTTCATAGGTCATCATGGTTGTATGGCAGCGAAGCATCAGTTCAAGTGGCTGATGTACTGCTGTTGATGATGATGATTGCAAGCCAGGTGTGCAGACAACTCGGCCACCGGCCGAAGTTTGAGAGAGTCATCAGGGACCTCAAAATCCGGCTTGCAGCTGGCGAGTAGGGTCTCCGATTGGTGGGTTTTCAGTTGCTCAGTTTGTGTTCCATTTTTGCCTTGCTCGAAGCCACTCTGTTTGCGCACAATCCACGGCTGATCGTATCGAGGTTATTCATGTAGTGCTTAGCAACGTGCTTAGTCTGATAACATGTACGAGGTGGATTTGCTCATAGACAACCCTTGTCCAGGTATACTTGACTTCATTGAAACATCTTTGTCTATGGAGATCACAGCCGATGAGGTATATCTGCTTGGCTACTCACTGTTCCGCAGTGACCACTCTCTTGGCCATCAGGTTGGTATATCTTTTGTACTGCTATTTAGACGTATTGAGCACCGGCGCTTCCCAGTCGCTGGAAAAAGGTTGCTGAGGCTCGCAGTCGTGATTTACACGTTACCGACTCAGTGTACCGTCGCCTTGCTGCATAGAATCCATGCGAGTACTTCTAAGGAGATCATTGAGTTTATACGCACACTCGACGAACAAGTGTCTGGTGCTTGATAACTTCAATCTACTGGAGGTTTGCTGCACAGATCGATGTTGTAACTTGGCGCTTAGATTGTTCGTTACGGACATTCTAAACTTGACGCTTCAGGTACCACTACCCCAATTCGGAAGCCTCCCCACTACTTGTCAACCAGCAACCGTCCATTTTAGATATTGTTTTCTCTACTTCACTTGACTTCGTGACATTATTTACGGCCTCTTGGTGCTACCGACCACGTTTGCTTGTCTTTTCGGCATGCCCTTACCAAGACTTACCAGGCTACCAGCGATTGGCGTCCTAACATTTGTTCCACAGGATTTCAAGCGATGCGAGACATGGCTTCGTCATCACATTGT